CTCTCTATGCCTTGTTGATATACCTTTTAGTTAGCTTTACGATACTGAATCAAAAAGCGATCTATGTCAAATGCAACCAGCTAACACGTTTTGAATTATTTCGTTAGTTTATTGTCTATGGGAGTGTACGCTCTAACGTCTTCTTCTTAGAAATTCACCGAAAACTAAAAACGAAAAGTAAATTTATCAAAAAAGGTACACAACAACTTTGTGTCAACAGTATAGGACTGATTTTTATTGTTCTAATAATAGAAGTACAGTCGGACCACGATAACTCTACAGTGGACTGACGATAGCAAAAATTAAAACTTTGTACATGGTAGTACTGATTATAGTTAAGCTAACTATTCCTGATACTTTACTTTTAACCGACTTAAAAAAGGAGAAAGTTCTCAATTATACAGGGTGTAACAAAAATACAAATAAAGCTTGAAGGGCATTAAAGTACATCATTTAAGGAGTCTTCTCTAATTTTCTTAAAATATTTGCATGATGTTTTAAGTTTTTATAAAAACATTATTTGAACTAGTGACGAGTCTTAAAATGATCGATATATTTATTAATCATTAAAAACAACTGTTTTTACAAAAAGTTAAAACTTTATGCAAATATTTTAAGAAAATTAGAGAAGACTCCTTAAATGACGTACTTCAACGCCCTTTAAGCTTTATTTATATTTTTGTAACACTCTGTATATACCGAACCGAGTGCATTTGTTGCTTTGCAGATTTGTTTTGACCACAGAACACAGAAAGAGGTTAGAAGGGTGATGAGCGATCGCCAGTATGAAAACCGATGTCGCCGGCTCGCCCCCACTACACTTCCACCTAATAGATAATAAGCCAATGAAACGACGCGACATCAAGCAACCGAACGAATCAGCGCTCACAACACACAACAGCCGTGTCTGTGAGCGTTCATTCGTTCAACCGATTTTTCGCTAGAGGTGAGCACTGAGTCGATGAAATATTATCGATATTAAATATGCCAAGTGCGAGTTGGACTTGATTGTATGGTAATTTTATATCCTGTCAAAGTCAGTAAAAATACAGAAAATGATTAAATGTAAAACGCATTACTACAGATAGTTATTTATTGACCTTGAAACAATATATATTTATTTAAAAGGGGACTTAGCGATTATTCACTCTGCAAAGTTTTAACATTGTTATATGCGTTTATGGTAAAGCTCCTGGTGCATGGGAGAAAAAAATAAGAGAGAAACTGAAAAATAGTCTGATTAACAATCAAAGCATGGTAATAAAACTTTAAGTCAGTTTACTATAGGTACTGAACTCGACAAAACGCCTAATAGGTATGACAAATAGTATGATAAAACGATCTCCTTCATGGAAAAAAGATTTCTAGTTATATTTTCTTTAGATTTAAACATCAAGCAGTTACATGCTTTAAAATAATAAAAATTATAACAATAATTGCTATTTCTTCTTTCAAATGTTTAATACTTGTTAAAGTATTCATTTGACATTGTGGGTTACCTATAAAGCGAAGAGATGGCGCTGCCTTGCAGCTTAAGGATGGCTAGAAGAATTTCGACGCGGTCCGTGAGGGCCGCGGTAGTATAATTGGTCAGTGCATTCACCCGGATTGAAAAGTGTGCGGGTTCGAGTCCCATCTGCTGCCTGGTCCGCGTGGATTTTTTTCTAGTTATATTTTCTTTAGATTTAAACATCAAGCAGTTACATGCTTTAAAAGAATAAAAATTATAAAAAGATTTAAAATAAACGTACGTTAAACGTACCCGCGAGAGGGCGCCACTAGCGTTTGTCGTACTCGAGTCAGGTCGAGGGTGGCTCGTATAATTATAGCAGCCACCACCATCGATTGACTAAGCTGTCTCGGTATGGACACTCACTCTGGACCGCGCATATTTCACTCTAATTACAGATACAATCGAATTCTCCAGGCCCTACTTGACACTGACACGTAGAGGAATACGCGTGATTCAATACTGAGATATGTTAATGCCGATCAGCTGAGATTTTCAATGAACTGTTACCTTATAGTAATATAAGTTATTTACGGGATTGTTACCATGTGCACATGGCGCTTGCAACAGTGCCGAAATATCGGAAACTCGCTAAAAACAAGGTACATGGTAACAATCCCGTAAATAACTTATATTACTATAATGTTAGTGACCATGAAAGTTTAAAACAATGAACTGTTACCTAATTTAAAACCTCGGCGTGCCTGACAGGTTATCGAAAAATACACTCACCGATGTTCGTCAAATATGTAACAAAACCGTGTCGGTTTTTTAACGCACGTCAAAGTGTAAGAGGGGCTAGAGAAAATTCGACACAGCCATCAGGGCCGCGATAGTATAATGGTCAGAGTTATCCTACTAGTTAATATTCATCATCGATATATCAATTCAAAAACGTATTATCATCGTATCGCCTATCCCGGTGTCGTCCTCCGGCCGTCAACACGTAAACTCCCATATAACAGACATGATTTTTAACGTTTTTTGATCGATATAATAATATATTATAGTGTTTAATTTTGTTTAGACATTGTATACCGATGGTACGGAACCCTTATCCGGTTCGCACTCGGCCGGTTTTTTTTTTCAAGTAGAGTAGAACCCGTTTAATACGATCACGCTTAATACTGTTTCTCGCACAATACGCCATTTTGCGTTAGTCTCTGCAACTTGAGACATGTTTTCATACTTAACTATTTGTTAGATTGTCATCCCTTTTAATACGCCTAAATCGCCAACACGTACCACCCATATCACCTCTTGATAACACACAAGAAGGTCTCTTCTTGTGTGTTATCCTTAGTGATCATGCTGCCGCTATGTAACTTTTTTGAATCAAAGCTAAGACGCGTTGCAAAAGTTGAATTATGTTGAAAATCTTTTAATTACTTATGCCTCAAAAACTTTTTGTCAAACTAAAATAAGTGATTATTTTAAATAACGTAATAATAATACACTATTTTTTATAACGTACATAATTCTTAAAAATTGTACATTTAATATTTCAATACTTACATTCGAAATAATAATATAGAATGTAATAAGTATTAATATGTAGTACGTTTTTCCACCCTATCATCCATAATACGCTTTCCCGCTTAAGACGCGTTTTTGGTTGAGTCCCTGTGAAATCGTCTTTAATCGGGTTTTACTATATTTGCTTTGCTCGGGCGCAGATGACATTTACAGCATTATCGGGTCAAGGGCGGCGAAATCTAAGGGAGTATCTTAATCACCGTAAAATCACTAGGCCACTCGAGCCTGAGGAGCGATCGAGAGGAACTAGAGGTGGTCTCTAACTAGAGGTGGTCTCTAACTAGAGGTGGTCTCTGAGATTCGGACTGCGGCTTTAGTTGAACAAGAGATGGTCTCTGAGATTCGGACTGCGGCTTTAGTAGAACTAGAGGTGGTCTCTGAGATTCGGACTTCGGCTCTAGTTGAACTAGAGGTGGTCTCTGAGATTCGGACTGCGGCTCTAGTTGGCCGTTGTCGTGAAGGACTGAGTATAAGGTCGAAGTCGCGGGCGACCTCTAGTATTATAAGGCGAAAGTTTGTGAGTATGTATGTTTGTTACTTCTTCACGTCTTAACGGCTGGAGGGATTTTAATATAATTTGGTATGGAGTTAGCTGACACCCTGAATTAACACATAGGCTAGGTCTTACTGCGGGAAAATATCCCTAATAAACCGCGGGTAACACCGAGGGGCAGAGCAAGTAAAATATAAAGCACAGTTGAAGTTGGGGCGACGCTGGTCTATTTTCTATCCGATTTGTGTTCACAGACCATAATTCAATCAAGACGAGCACGCCGATTTCAGAAATAACATTTATAATTCTACTGTGTCACCAACTTTCTGTCTGTCACTCAATAAAACTTTGGATAAAGTTAACTTTCGTTTCACCACGTTGATTAAGGCTGTCCGAACTAAATTAGCAACGATGTGTGATGAGTTTGTCAACACCGTCATCGACGCATACGCAGGGCGGACACGCATTCCGGCGACCTAAATATCCAATATTTATAAAGATTTCGGTTTTGATTATACTGTTCATAAAAATTAATTAGAGATGATTGTGAGAGACTTTTTTGGTCAATACATCGGGATTTCAAATAAATTCAAAACATTTACATGAGTACACTACACATAGGTCCAAATAGACGCCGATTGATAAAGCAGAGTAGAAGCGAGATGAACACATTATATTCCAAATATATACGTTTTATCTATTGTTAACTGCACAGAAAAACAAATGACATATAATGACACATATATTATATAGATACAATAGGGTATTTGACAAGTTTTAGAAAACGATTTCCCGTTACTGACTAATGTTTATGTAGTCCGTAAAAGGTGGATATTCATCATTCTGTTGTGTATTTCAGTAAAAATAACCAAATCAAAAACTCCATTTTCAAGTTGCCGCGAAAACGTTTTTCTGGAAAATATGGCGTCTTACTAGTGTGTGACGTCACACGACTGTTATTATAACGTCAAACGATACAATGTAATTTCACTTTAACTATTATTACACTTTAATTATTATTAAAATATGAATTTTTTTTTTTTGTAAAAATAGTAAAAACCCCTGCCAATATTCATTCTAAACACAGATGATAACAATTGACACTTTATTTTTAATTCTGTCAAATACCCTATTAAAATTCGCGGTCGCGCCTCTCGCGCGCCCGCAGCGGGTGCCGCAAACACCCGCGTGCTCTGTGGACGCAAATGGCGCCATGAATTTGGCTTCTGCATTTTTATTTCTTAGGTTTTCACGCACATTAGGCTGCGAAACGTCAATAAATAAATAAAGTTTCGTGCATTAACCCGTAAAAACTAGTTTTATTCTGCATTTTTACCCACAATTTCACATTTTACACGAGTTCCGGTACCGCAACCGGGGCGAGCGCGGGAGTGACAGCAAAACACAACATTGTGAAATGAATATTTATCAAAATGGTGTAATAATTTGATTGTGACTGACCTCCTTCTCCTGCTGCAGGCGCGCGTCGCCGTGTATCTTGTCCCGCAGCGCGACCAGCTCCACCGGCCAGCTCGACACCTCCGCGTCGGGGTCCGACAGCAACACCTGTCGTATGCCAATAATACGTCAGTCTCCAGCTTTTCAATCTTATCTTTATATATATAATTCTTCTGTGAGTGTGTATGTCACTGAACTTATCTTAAACGACTGGACCGATTTTGATGAAATTTTTTGTGTGTGTTCAAGGGGATCTGAGAATGGTTTAGATTCACAATTTTGTCCGCTGGACAACCCCTATTTTTTTAGGGCGGTACGAAGTTCGCTGGGTCAGCTAGTCTAATATATAAAATTCTCGTGTCGCGGTGTTTGTGGTTAAACTCCTCCGAAACGGCTCGACCGATTTTCGTGATATTTAATATGCATATTCTGTAGGTCTGAGAATCGGACAATATCTATTTTTCATCCCCCTAAATGTTAAGGGTTAAGCACCTTTAATTTTTTTTGGTACAATATTTTTTGTTTTTTTTTTTGATACACCATACAAAAATAGATACAACCCTAAGTTTTCTCCCTTCTACCACCAACCCCTATTTTTTTATGGCGGTACGAAGTTCGCTGGGACAGCTAGCCTTATATATAAAATTCTTCTGTCACAATGTTAGTTAACATACTCTTCCGAAACGGCCTGACCGAATTTTATGAAATTTTATATGAATATTCCATGGGTCTGAGAATCGGTTACTATCTATTTTTCATATCCTGAAGTGGTAATAATTTTCCACCTGTAACGTAATGTTCTGAAACCTGCAATGCGTCTTCGCGCAAAAATTCAAACTATTGGGTATTGTAACGTAGTGTTCTCATATGGGCCAGGAGGGATGTTATCACAGGAAATTGATAGAACACTACGTTGCACACCTCTATTAAAAAAAATACAACTCTAAATTTTCTCTTCTACCACCTGCCCCTATTTTTATGGCGGTACGAAGTTCGCTGGGTCAGCTAGTAAGTATATAAAATTCCCGTGTCACAATGTTAATTACCATACTACTCCGGAACGGCTTGACCGATTTTTATGAAATTTTATATGTCTATTCAGTAGGTTTGAGAATCGGCTACTATCTATTTTTCATACCGCTAAGTGATAAGGCTTAAGAAACCCTATTTTTTTATATTTTTTTTGAATTTATGGATCTATTTGTATGGCGGTACGAAGTCAGCTCGCTCGCATCGCTGGGTCAGCTAGTCTTTATTATAATATTATAAAGAGGAAAGATTTGTTTGTTTGTATTCTCACATCCTCGTACACGGTCTACTAAAACGCCTTCATCACCGGGTCGATACGGGATGTCATGTTTTTGTGTCTGTACTGAATCCAGCTCGATCGTTCTGGGGGCCATTCGCCTAACAGAAATGCTTTGGAAAACGCTAACGCTTTCGATATTATTTTGTTATTTCTGACCGCCGAAAGTTTCCAAATACCTCACGCTCATTCTTTTTAATATTGTTATTACCAATGCAAAAGAAAAAAAAGAGAGCGAGGCATTTGAAAACCTCAGGCGGCTAGAAATAAAAACATAAAATCGTAAGCTTTAGCGTTTTCCAAAGCATTTCCGTTAGGCGAATGGCCCCCTGGTTCGGTATAGTTTTGTTTTGTTTGGGGAATCACGGGACAGGCGAATGGTTCGGTAGTATTCTAAAGCAGTCAGTACAGAGAGCTGTGAATACGCTCGGTAAAGGGTCTTTACCGAAAATGCTCAGTTTGGAATTCTCATTTGATTATATGCACCCGGTGTAGAATCTGTACAGATTCGGTATAGAACTGAAAACGAAACGAGCCCACACCGACCCAGTGAGGAAGGCGCCTAAGTATCCCACGCACGTACGCACGTAATGCAAACATAAAACTTGTAGCAAGTAGGTACGGGACTTGTAGCATATATAATGCGATTCAACTAAGAATAGGACCGACTGGGCGCCATATTTGGACGTCATAGCTGTCAATTCAAACCAAATAGGTAGAGTGAGCAAAAAAATGTTACTATTTAATAAAACTTATTTACTAACATTAAGTGAGACAAAACATGAGATTTTTTAATAAAATTAATTTACTAAGGTTGAGAAAGAACACAATTGACTTTTAATAGTATTTCTTTTTTAAGACTGTGAAAAAATACATTAATCAGAATCTAGCTCTTCAATTTCGCTCATCTCTGCATTACCGCCGGAGAAGTTATGAATATTCATGCAGGTCACATACGAACATGCATCCTATATGTAAACGAAAGTTTTAAATCGAGTTTTTGAACGCGCCATAAAGTGACATGTGGTTGACGATTTAGGTTATCAACCATTCATAGCCAAAGCCCAATAAATAAAAAAACTACTAATATTAATTATCAACATTTGTTATTGTTTGTTTAAAAATGATTGGTTTTTATTCTAGAATCAGCTGAGTACAAAAAAAGTGTTCTGAGATTTTTTTGCAAACGGTACTTTTCAAGCTACATTTGACAGATGGAGGTCATTGGTTTTCCTATTCTTATTTGAATCACATTATAGGTTCCAAATTTGATTTATTGAACAATAATGGATGATAAATTTACCATATCCGTTGGTAGTTACATTCAACTATTAATTGAATAATGTTCATATTTGGTATGGGATCGAGTCTAGCCCGGGTCCGACTGGTAAAATAATCATTATTGTAAGACAGCAGTTCACGGGACTCGAACCCGCACCCTTTGCTATTCGGGCGACTATGCACTGACCATTATGCTACCGCGGCCCTGATGGCCGTGTCGAATTCTTTCTAGCCTTTCTTAAGCTGCAAGGCATCGCCATTTCTTCGCATTGTAGGTACCCACAATATGAAATGAATACTTTTACAAGTATTTAACATTTGAAAGAAGAAATAGCAATTATAGTTGTTATTTCTATTTTTTAAGCATGTTTTGCTGCCTGGTCCGCCTGGATTTATTTTCTAGTAATATTGTCTTTAGATTTAAAGATCGAGCTGTTACTTGCTTAAAAAATAAAAATTATAAAGATATATATATATATTACTTTCAATTATAATGAAAATATCTACATTTGAATATATTTTCCACTACTTCTTTTTCACAATTTCAGACTTTTCATATGTGTACTCTATGAAATAATAAAAAATAGATTGTGCATATTGATACTTCACATCTAAGGTGCGAATTTTTATTATTCCTTTAAACTATTTTTCTTAAGATCGAGAAAATAAGCAGCTATAACTCAATCTAATATGGGATCTAATCTCTACACTGATGTCGATTCTGGCATGATTATTTCAACCTAAAACTAAATTTAATATCAGTCTCTCCTTTTCATTCTGTATAGAGAACGACAAGGATACACTGTTGTCAAATTTAAGTTTAGGTTTAGAGAATCATGTCAGAATCGACACCAATATTAAGCTAATATTATTTCCATATAGCGTTTAAACTGAAGATAAAAGTTAAGAAAATAATTTAAAATAAAACATAATATGAACAACAAACATAAACAGGGCAATAATATTTGAGCTCTTCTCTCAAACGAATGTCCTTACCAGGATTCGAACTCAGAACATTTCGGTTCAACAGCAGAACTTTACGATTATTTAGTTTAGCCTCAAACGAATACACAAACAAACTTACACACAAGTCTCCCATGTCAAGATCCTGCCAAACCAATCACAACACCGTTCACCGTTTCACCAAAATCTCAATAAAATAATTTAGAAATATCACAGCAACACTCGGCAATCACTTCCGAACTTCAATAACTAAAGTGAGATACTACAGTATGGAAAGTAAATCGTAGCCCGCGGCTAATTTGACCCCAGAACCCCTTATCACTACTAGCTGATAATACACAAGTTCACAACCAATGAAGGGAGAGCATCGAAAGTGTCATTAGATAAGTGTGTTTACAAATTTTGTTCCATTACAAGGAGACAATACAGGTAATGTGCATTAAGAGAAAAACAAACTAATTAACGAGATCTTTTCTTTTCATCAACTGATGAATGGTAATCAGGTATTTTGCAAAAGCAATTCTTAAATTTTCGTTTGCTCCGGTAATCCATTGTATGCCTATTTAGTATTATCTGAATTAAAACGGTAGTGGACCTTTTTCTTCAAATTAATAATAATATTAATAATAATAATATTTCCAACACTCACACCAATTAACCTAGCCCCAAAGTAAGCACTATAAGGCTTGTGTTATGGGATACTAAGGTAACGGATAGAATACATATACTGTACATATATAAGTATATTTATATAGAAAATACATAATAAACATCCATGACTGGAGTACAAATGCTCGTATTCATCACACAAACATCTGCCCCCACCGGGATTTGAACCCAGGACCTCTCGAGCCGGCGACACCATGAAACCCGGTGTATAAACCACTCGGCCACGGAGGTCGTCATTATTTTAAACGTCAAATTAACGCGGGTGAAACCGCAGGGTACCTTTAGTTGTGACATAACTGTATTAGTAAGACATATGGTATCGCGGACTTTTTTGTAGATATTGGTATCCTCTATAAAACTTTAGTACATCACTTTGCTCTAATCTCAATGACTTCCGCATCTTAAGCGATTTAAGCCTATTTTTGGGTATATTTTACACACATTGGGTTACATTCATACGGAACCCGAACTTTTTTGAAAATACACTATAGCCTATATTAATCAGTGATAAAGTAGCATTCAAACAGTGAAAGAATTTTAGAAATCAGTCCAGTACTTTTTGAGCCAATTCGTTACAAACACACTTGCATATAAATCTTTCCTCTTTATAATATTAGTAAAGATATTGGATTTAAGTAAAGTGTAATTTTACCAGAAAACAAGAGCAAAAAGGAACATTTAAACATACAATAATAAACTAGACGAGACTGCGTGGTGCTCAAAGAATTAGGTCAGAATGCAGCGCGAAAAATGTCCTGTCCTCTATCAGTTGGCACCCGGCCAGTGTACGTTTGACAATATTTCAAAATGGCGATGACCGCCCGGTGCGATGACTGGCCGCACTAGCCAGAACCGTCACCACGTTTTATTTAACAATTGTAGAACAATG